CTGGTAACCCAGTCCACACTTGGTTTACTAGTTGAGAACAATCTCGTCCACTTCTCAGAGCTCGTTTTTGGTGATAAGGACAGCGATACGTACGCTGTTGCAGCGGTAGACTACGTCGATAAAGACGATCGATTCCCGTATCGCCCAACGGAATGTATCCGACGTGACGCAGTATCAACCGTGCTACTGACGTCTTGTAAAGACAAGAGGAAGGAGATTGACGTTGATGATCTTTGCGGACACACGTCATCTGAAGAGGAAAGTAACGACAGTGTGGTCGTCCTGACTCGCTGGACATTCACTCGTATCTGTCGTACAGATTTCTATGCACCCACGCAAACACTTCGAGACATGCGTGATCGATCAGGTCAAGTCGCCGATACGATCCTAAGCTGCGTCCGGGAGACACTTAATCTACCAACCACCACGTAACACAATATACTTCTGTACATAACACGTTAAGACTGTTTAGGCAAGCCGACTGACTCCCGGACACAGTTTAAGATCGTTTGGGAAACCCTTCCGGATAAGTCTCGCATCTCTCGGAGTACTTCATGAGGCACGTCCAGCTCGGTATGGCAGATCCTTGTAAAAGCCCAACGCGTCACCACAATGACCGGATCTGCCTCGTATCTATCCGGATCAACGTGTGATGTCACTAGAATCGCTGCAGTGGCATCTCTCCGGATACGTTCCTGAGGACGATACGGATAAAGCACATCCTCATCCACAAAATCGGCAGAGGTCACCGCATAACTCCCTCCTTCAGTATTCGAAAACTCGGTGAAGTGGACGAGATTGTTCTCCACCAGAAAGCCTCGAGATGTCCGCGTTACTAAGCGCAGTTGAGAACATTCCTCCTCAGTTACATCATCGTCTTCACGGATCGTTAGATTACCGGATGTCTCGGAAATTATAATCTCCGCGTTGAAAGCAGCGTATTTTAACGCATCCAGTACGGCTCGAATCCCGCCCTTTACACCTCCTAAAGGTACACGATCGAAGCGTACGTTGCAGTAATCTCCTTCCGGAGTTTCGTATCTCTCTTCGTGGAAATATTCCGCGGTAGGATGCATTCCTATACTGCGATGCTGGATAAATCGTTTGGCGTAATAAAGCTTGGGCTCCCTTACTACTTTTAGTGTCTCGAGTCTCTCTTTCCGATCTGCTGACAAGTGAATAAACATCTCCGTTGGACGTACTTGATACGAGTGACGCAATGCACAACCCAGTAGCATTCCTTGAGCGTGAGCCATCGCCAAATGCTGCTCTTGGACGAAATCTCGCAGCATTGCGTTGTGTGCCACCGTGTTATGCAGCACAGTGTCTTCTTCACCTCGCTGTACTAGCGTCTGGAGCTCAAGATTCTTCAGTTTGGCTTGCAATGCAGCGATCTCCACTTGCAGCGCCAGCTTCTCCTCTTTACGCACCGTGTTCGTCGCCTTCCTCTTCTTGTAGGCGCGCTTCTTCTTCACTGGCTCCTGGACGTTGTCGCTTATGTCGGACTGATCTACCTCTCGGGTGACGACGTGAGCTGTTGACTTGGTATCAATTGGAGACGAAATTATCATGTCGGACTCCACCGCGTTTATCAGGTCCAAGATGCAGCTAGGATGTCGTGGGGTGAGCAGAGGCTCATTCATCGTCTTGTGCACGGTCAAGCTGAAGCAAAAGTGTCGACCTTTACGTATGATTTCTCATGATTCTAGGATCACTCATATATTTTACATGATATTTTTTGCAAGTGTTTCAGATAGGAAACTAACTGAGTACCCAGAGTAATCACAATAAGATTATTACGCGCCCAACTTCAATTGATTTCTAGATTGTGATTATAGGTAGACCTAGTGTCTGTCGAACGCAATTGAGGTAGGTGCCCTGCGATCGGATCGAAGTCTCTCGCATGTCTAGCATGGCCTCGTGCGAGATGTTTAGGTCCGTAGGACAGATCTTCGTACAGGCCCAGCGCATGAGGATGACCACAGGTTCGTCCTCTTTCTTGTCTCCTTTCTTGGGCGAATCCAGATACGACACCAACATGGCCGCCGTCATGTCACGTCGAACTCGCTCCAGCGGTCTGTACGGATACAGCTCGTCCTCGTCCACAAAGTCCGTCGATGTGACGGCGTAGCAGCCTTTGCCGCTCTCTCCGTGCGCGTATTCTGTAAAATGCACTAGGTTGTTCTCTACGAGCACACCCCGGTTGGTCTGTGAGACTAGTCGCATCTGCGAGACGCTCTCGTCGTTCATATCGTCGTCCTCACGCACTGTAATATTGCCCGACGTCTCTGAAATAATGATCTCGACATTGAACGCAGCCTGTAAAACCGCGTCAAACACGGCACGAACGCCTCCTTTCACGCCGTACAGCGGGGTGATCTCGAATCTAGCGATGCAGTAGCCTCCGTCCGCCGACTCGTACCTTTCTTCCTGGAAATACGGAGTGTTCGGTTTGATGCCGCTGCTCCGTGCACACAAGAACCTCTTCGCTTCCCGGAGTTTGGCTTCTCGTAATGCATGCAGCACTCGTCTTCTCTCTTCTCTATCTGCACTCAGACAGATCCTCGTTTCCATGGGTCTCACGCCGCTCATTTGGTGTTGCATCTGACCGGATAATAGCGCTCTCACTTGTGCCATTACCAAATGTTGATCCTGGATTGATTCTTTCAGCACCGCGTTCTCCACTGTTTTATCATGGTAAGACCTGGACACTTCACCCTGTTGAACCAGTGCGCGGAACTTAATGTTCTCTAGTTTGGCCTGTAGCTCCTCGATCTCCTTTTCAAGTGCCGCTTTCTGCTCCTTTCGAATCGTGTGTGTCGCCTTGCGTTTCTTGACAACTCGCTTCTTTTTGGGCTCTTGTGGCACTGCAGAAGGTGAAGCCGAAGCGGACGATGGCGGGGATTCAAGTGTTCCCGAGTCGGCTGTGAGCTCCATAATTGCGCCTTCCTGTTGCAAGTTCTGGAAACTTGGTGGTCCGTTCCAGACCTGCAGCTGGCGGTTGTCCACGACCATGAGAGCGTTCTGTGGCTGCTTCACCATAATGGAGTTGGCGGAGGAGACCTGGAATGGATCCATGGACTGGAAAAGTACTGGAACTGAGAGTTTTGATGAAATTTATTAGTCGAGCACTTAGAGCATCGAGGTGAGCTCCTGGGCTGTGCCAATTGGTGGGTAAAGCACGAATGATGACGTTGTGGGGAGGGTGTGATTCAACCTCTCAGTAGTTAAGAATTATAGTCTAGAGAGATTATGTAAATCTGATGTACATAGCTAGGATCACATGACTGTCACGGAATTATGGCAAAACTTTAGTTAACTGTTTCTGTAAAGTGATCGTAGTTGTTTTGTATTCTATAAAAAGGGAAATGGCTGCTCTCACCGAAAGACCCGTAATCTTCTTGTATGTCAGGGCATTGTGAACAAGCGTGCCGCTGCCAGCGTCAAACCAATGGCAACCTGCCAGTGACAGCATGACCAGATGAAGAAGACAATAGAGGCTGCAGACTCGACAAGAGATGGCGGGCCGGTCCGATTTGGGTGCTCAAGCTTGATCGGGGCACTTGGGACACGTATGGCTGCGATGAATTGTACTCTAACGTCAACGGCGTTAGAGATGAATTCTTTACGTCAAGGGTCGATACATGTACCGTGTCCTGGTGTGAATGCACTGACGAAAAGGCAAACTGTCGGTTGCCGCATCTTGATGTTGGATGTTCCCGCAGCTTTCGGACAGGCTTCTATATGCAAGTATATCGATGGGACAGTTCTAGTGAGATCTCTGCATGTTATATAGCTTCACGATTGCAAGTTATATTTTCAACAGCGAAAGCTCCTTCGATTCCCCATTCTCGGTGTGTTTTGTCGTCTTGGTCTCGTTGAGCTTACAGCGCGCCGCAATCTTACGTCCCTTCCATGCATCTCGCCAATCTCATTGAAGCGTCTAGCGCGTCACACCGTTAAGTGCGAAGCTCTGTTTCTTCTTATCGGGCAGTAGACAAGATGCATTCACCTGACGACAACTCCAGCGTCACCCATGGAGACCGCAGTTTCCCCCCGCGCTACAGCAGCCCCCGTCTCACTCCGCCATCGTTGCCTCGCAGACGACCACTTCCTGGAGGCAGTTTCGATGCCAATATCATGAGTTCTTCGTCCTGGAACGCCAGAATTCCGCCTTTGATGACCAATTCAGCTTATCCAGCCACCCTGATGCCGCACAAGACCAATAGCAAACAATTACATAGTGCCACGAGCACCAGTGGCGACGAGAGCAGTGCTGACGACGCTAAAACTTCCTCAAAACGACAGAAAACCGTTAAGAATGGATCGGAACTTAAGCAAGTCAAGACACAGCGTAAGGAACGCATACCCACGCATAAACTTCGCAAGGAACAGAAGATGGAGCTATTGAGTCAGATCGAGCAGCTACAGAACCAACTGGAGAGTCTCAAGTCGCAAGCTATTGTGTCGAACGCCTTACACGTTAAGAAACATACTCAAGCTCCAGTGATGAATACTATTCTTCGAGAAGCAGTGCAATCGAGACAGTCGACACTAGCGGATGTACAAGGCTTCATTTCCGGGTATATCCAGCAGCAGCACGATATCAGTCCCATTAATACGTTTATTAAGCTCGGCCTGGATCGGGTACAGCGCCATCAAGAGCTGGTGGCAATGAAACGTGTCAAACTGCAGACGACGCACGAGTTTCTACTGCGTCGCAGTCGAGGACTGGCGCCTGGGAGACAGTACTGCGAAGAAGAGCGCTTTGAGACGTCCAGAGGGGATTACTGCGCCGTGCGGTTCGCTGTATCACATTTCAGAGGAGCTGCCAGTGTCCGAGCGGTATTCGATGCTGCGTTATTCCAGATATCAAATGTCGAAATGAGTATGTCGGATGTTCTGGGGAATATCACTATTCGGGAGGACGACGACAATGGAGATGACAACGTTACGCAACTGCGGTTAGTAACTTCGACGGCATCTGCGCCTCAGGCTCCGCCGCTTGAGACCAACTCGCTGCAGTTCAATGAATTCCACGAAGCAACAGCGTCAGGCGGTCCCAATGGCACAGCAACGAGAGAGTTTGGGATTATCATGGCCGACTTTGTGGATGAGGACGAGCTATACCCTTATAAAGCTGACGAGCGTATGCGCAAGGACGTTACGGCGGCATTATTGCTTACGCCACTCCCGAAGGAGGAACATCGACATATCCACCGTGAGGGTGATGTCCGAACACGATGCAGTGACGATGGGGAGCTGGTGGTCAAGGTCACGCTGTGGTCGCTCATCAAGTTGCACCACTCGGATCTGGAAGTGTCATATGACTGTTTAGAGGAGACCCGGCATGAAATTGGCCGCTGGGGAGAAGAGCTCGTTCGGGCCATGCAGCGGACCCTCGCACTGAGACGCACGCACTAGGATCTCCTGTACCGTGTATTCTAGGTATGCTGTAACAGAGTTTACCTGACCCTGGAAACTACGCATCCGATTGTGGATGCAAGACATATGCGCACCTGCGTCTCGTCAACAAGTATTAACACAACTTGATATTCGAGGCCGAAGTGTAAAAGTGGAGTTCCCCTTGAGTGTCTTCAGTTAAATTTGGATGTCGAGTTCTGCGTTGGCGTCTACAATATATAACAAGTAGTCGAAAAACGACCGCGCTAATAGTTGGAATGAACACGAGGTCGGTAGGATTGATACGAGTGTATACGAAGTGGGCTCAGCTGTCTTTGAATCACGCAGGGGTAATAGAGCCAGTGGGTACGATTATGGTCGGGCCTTGCCATGCCTTTGTAGAGCAATCGACGGGCAATCATTGTTGATGCGTTACTTGTTATAACCGACAGTCGCAAAATCAAATGTCCCGAAAAGAATATTGTGCTGCAATCCTCCATCAAAATCAGCTTTGTCCAGTTATAACCTGTGCGGTTTTACCCTGTCATTTTTAACTCCATTGTGTTACGTATGCCATCACACCCAAATGCCACAACCATTTCAACACGCAGCGACACATCACGGTTCGCCTCCCCACTCGCAATCAAGCAGCAGAGAGCACACTCCTCATGGGTCTCTACGAGCGCCGCATGCCCCGCACAGCCTCCATGGACGCATACGAAACCGAGCGGGACGCGCGTGACTATCACAGCAGCGTTTCCCGTTCTCTGCGGCCTCCAGAGGCCTCAGGGCGCCCGAGTTACTCGTCATCGCCGTCTTTCCCGCGTTCTTCCTTCACACAGGAAGCAGGACGGCGCCACGTCTCGCCTGGTGGGACACAGGACAGAACCGCAGCCGCCGACAACCTGCTCTCGCTCATCCAGTCCGTTAATCCTGGCCGCAAGCCAGCGTACGAGCAGTCGAGACGTGATCATGCGGCGTCCAGCCATTTCACACACATGGGGCGTTACCAGAGACTTAAGGACGAGTTCGGCAACACGTCCGAAGACGTAACGCCCCCTGCTACTGCAGAGGAGCCGATGAGTCGAGGTAGGAAGAGGCTGGAGCCTCCCACGAGCCCCAAGAAAAGAAGAGTCGGGAGACCAGCGAAATATTCCTATACAGAGGATGACGACGACAATTTAAAGAGGAAGAGACGCGATAAGAAACCTACATACATTGTACGCAAAGAGAAGAAGGCCATGCTCGAAGCAGAACTGGTAGAACTCAAGCAACGGGTCGTTCAACTCCGACGAGCGAGTGGGATCCCCGACTCGTTCTTCGCTGAGAAGGAGCAGCTTCTATCGAAAATCCATGACAATAACAGACTCCGCACAGAGGCTAGAAAGCAGGACTTGCTGCTGAGAAATGCACACGCTATTATGGCGTCCGAGTACCTGATGAAGTGCAGCGAGAGTCCCATTGAAAATTTCATCCATTTGACGACGGATTTAAAGCAGAGACGAGCAGCTTTGGTGAATCTGAAGGAGACCAAGTTGAAACAGGCCGATGATTTCATCACAGAGAGGTCCAAAGTCATGCCACAAGTCACTCCTTGGTGCCAGGAGAGCAAATTTGAGACCGAAGAGGGACATTTTTGCGCCGAGAAAATGGACAACACCCCTTTCCATGGAGTGCGATCTGTGCGTCAAGTCTTTGAGGCATTGCAGTTCTTCTTTAGGAATATGGAGATCAGTATCTCGGAGATGCTGGGGGACATTACGGTGCGTGAAGATGACGACAGCACAGCGAGCGACGCGTTTTCGAACCACCGACTGGTTAGTACCATGTCACATGGCGTTAAGGTGGAAAAGAACATTGTTAAGTTCTTTAAACTGGTCGAGCCAGAGCACGAAGGGCAAGCTCCCTATGCGCTTGTCGCCACGGACTCTGTAGATCTCGATGATATGTACCCATACGTACCTCAAGAGCGCATTCGAATGGACATCAACGCTGCCATGAAGTTTACGGAACATTTCTGTAAGATACCCCCGAACCGGAAGACGAAGACACGCACGCGTCATCCTCTGTATGGATCTGGAGGCTTTCCATATCCTCGGGATCCTGAAGAGGACCAAGACGATGAATACGAACGTGTGGTGGTGTTAACGCGGTTTTTCCGTGTTAAGTTACATCACACCGAGATGGATATCCCTCCGCACGTGCTCCAAGAAGTCCGCCAGGGTCTCGCTTGCTTCTCTGACACGATGGTTCAGAGCATGCATCGCGTTATCTACGAGTCTCGTTAAGGTACCGTTATGTTATCAGATGCGTATGTAGAACTAGTTTTTTTTCCCAGAAATTCAGCATAAACATGCATACAGTTTTTGACATTTTCATGGTGCACCGTAAAGGGACTGATTCATACTGTGAACCATGTTGTCCGTGAAGTGTGTGACGCTGCGTTGAACGTCCTGCAGCATGCGTGGAGGAATTTCCAGCTCCGAGTGATGCAGCTTCACTCGAAACCATCGTGTCATGACTACAACAAGCTCCTCATCTGTTTTCCCTTTCTTCTTTCGGGCAAATGACGAGATTTTCATTGCAGCAGTGACGTCTTTGCGAAGACGCTCCAATGGAGCGTACGGATAGAGGTCGTCCTCGTCGACAGGAGCTGTAGCCATGATACCATTTGACCCTTCTCCATCATCCTCGTACTGAAAGAATTTGATGGCATTCTTCTCGACCATAAGTCCGTTGGACAGCATAGTGACTAGACGATGGTGTAGCATGGGGTTCTTGCTACTATCCAGGTCGTTCGAATCTTCTCTGATTGTCAGGTCCTCACCCAGTTCAGTTGTGGTGATTT